TGTATGTGTGTGTATGTGTGTGTGTATGTGTGTATGTGTGTGTATGTGTGTGTGTGTGTGTGTGTGTGTACTAAAAGATATTTAAAAAACAAAGACAAGAATGAATAAAATATTTATTGCTTCTGACTATATCTCCAGGACGAACAAAACCAATTACATGGTGTAGACCTGTACAATAAAAATAATTTTTGTCGTAAACTGGGGATGGGACAGTAGCTGGGAGCTACTGGGATACAACCAATTGTACTGATATAGGGAAAATGATGTCGGAAATTATAGATGGGAGAGTGGGTGAGTTGGGGAGGGGGGTGATAAAGAGTAGAGAGCTGTTGGCAGCTTCCGCGTTCAGGTAGAGGCGTTTGTTTACCAAGGCAGGTGGGCCAGACAGTCTCAGCTACCTTCCAAAAGCAGGTAAATGAGGCATCCCAGACCTACAACTACCACTGTTCTTGTTTCATTCCCTCCTTTAGTTATTAGCCTGTTCGCCTGGCTAGTTTACTGTCCAAGGGGGCTAATTTGGTAACAACATAAACAGTAAAAACTTTCTCCTTGGCACCTGAGCTCTCTTTCAAGTTACGATCAGTACCAATTCGGAACGTCAGGAATCTGCCTGCTCGTATTATAGCAACTTCTCTGTTAAACTTTACTTATTTTTGACGCTGCTGAAAAGCTGCTGTTGCTGGAGAGAATGATACATGTAGTAGCTGTTGTTGTTATTACTGGTGGTGGTGGTGGTGTTCTTGCTTTTCTTCTTGTTTGTCGTTGTAGCTGTTCTTCTTCTTCTTCTTCCACCTCTCAAATCAACCTTCTTGTCCGATAGTCCCGAGCAAAGTGGGTATATGAAGAGTTTTTAAAAAAAACCGAAACAACCCATGTTCGAGATCGCCCCGTAGGAGGTCCGATCCAGGTCAAGAGAAAAAGCAATGTTCACGACATGATGAATCAACAACAATGATGTGTAAGTAACATCCTCCTTTCTTCCCGCCTCCACAGAGCGAAGCGACAGTGTCGTTTCCGGGGACAGTTCAGTGGTGACATTCAGACATCCTGTTTCGAGAATCCTGAACCTTCAAACGCCGGGCGAAGCAGAAATCTACCTTTGCAGGAGGTCCGTGCGTTCTGTGTGAACGTGAGTGTGTGTGTGTGTGTGTGTGTGTGTGT